TTCGGTCGAAAGGGAATTTCCTTTCGTCTCCTTTTCGTCGCCGCAAAGAACCGCGGTGTAATGCGTGAAACGAGATAAAGCAGCGGAACCGACCGGACGACTTCTACGACACGAGGAAGAAGAAGAAGAAGCGAGGCAAGGGAGCGATAATTAGCGCGAAGACGGATCAGATAGACAAATTCTTTGGCGAATTTCTGGTCTCTTCTTTGCACGGCACATATAATACCGGGTTTCAGGGATAAACATCTCGTTGTTGTTGACGCCTAAGTCGTATGGCGTGGCCCAACGCAATAACACCGTAAAGTCGAGCAGCTGGCTGACCCACCTTCGGGGCATTCGGAGATATATAAATTACCGACGTCCCTTCTACCTTTATCACACCTCTGCTTCTTTCACATACGCACCTTTTCCGCACCGCTAATCGTGCTATTAATACACGCTACCGACGTGACGAATCTTTATTGCACCTCGAGGCGAGCTATCTAGGATTGTTTCCATTACAGGTGAAAATAACAGGAATCAGAAATTTTGTCTCTCTCGTATTTGGATAATATTTTTTATCATGCGTTGTGCTTTTTAAACGATACGTTAAATAATAGACGATTGATAATTAATAATAATCAATTGCGAGAAGTGTTTTTTCACCGCACACATTAGCCGCATTATTTTTTTTATTTTTCTATTTGAGAATTTTTAAACGCGACGCGATAATCATTAATCACCACTAATCCGGCTATCGTGCGAGACACGTTAAGGATTTTATTTTTGCGTTTCTTCGGCATGTACGATGCGCTTTGTGAGAAGATAGCGGCCGGGTATCTCGCGCGGGAAGGGTCGACGTGAAGTGGGATTGGAAAAGAACGAAAACGTGTTGGCCGGTGGTAGAAAACGAAGAAGAGGGATCGTCCGGGATAATGAGAAAAAAATCGCAGCGAAATCTCTCCCTCTCTCTCTCTCTCTCTTTCTGGTAGGAGAAGGTGGCGGAGGAAGATGTGGAGGAAAAGGAGGAGGCCCATCCATGCACCGTTGCGCTCGACTGTCCATCCCGTCCGTCTGTCCGTACGTCCTGGACAGAGACCCGTCGCGTCGGCCCTTGGAACCGGAGGATGGACGGATCGCAGATTACGTGCATTTCAGATTCGCTCGCGCAGCGACTCGTGTTTCCCGGCGCGGTAATAAATTACGATCGTAATCGTCGGTGTACGCGCGCACGCATTGTCGGTCACGCTGGACGACGCTGGTCGTCCTTAAACTCTTCCACCGGCTGGCTGCCGATGAGGCCCATTCACGGGCCTCCCATCCGCCGGCGAAACTCTCCGCCGCGAATCAATAGCGATTAATTAATTATCCGACGTGAATCCTTTCTGATCCTGCTTGATCGGGACATGGTTAAATTGAAGATTTAACACGATGCATTTTTATTTTTATTTTCTAATTTAATTCGGTTTAATTCAGTCTCTCTCTCTTTGTCTCTAATTCAAGTGCATATTTTACTTGCATTCACGTTTAATCGGCGGAATCTATTAAGAGGTCTCGATACTTCGAAGCTTTCAGGGCCCGAGGTATCGCGTATTACGAGATACACACGTATCGCCGTTTCGTTTCACCAGACCCTGGACTATCCTTTCGTTCTTCTCGGCAGCGATGCTCAAAGATTCGCGCACGGCCCCCCCGCCGACGATGTCTGGAGGCCTTGACTGGGCCCCTAACTCCGAGCATACCCGGCGGGCCCTCCCTTCGTCCTCTCGCTGCCGATCTTCGCACACGAATACACGGCCACGCAAATCCACATACGCAATCCTTATATCCACATTGAATGTGTATCCTTCGCCGCCGGCGCCTTCAACCTCCGGGGCGTCTGAATCCGAGTTTAAGTGCATCACATGTCGGTGCAACAGGTACGGACGTGCGGATGATATTTGTCAAACGCGTGTTTTTTTTTTATGAAACATCATGTGCATATACATATATGTGCACGTGAGATACCGCCAACGATAACAAATTGTCGCCTCAACGGGGGGGGCTTGTGCGCGCCGATTATGATGCCCGCGATTAAAAACACCTTGTTTCTTGTAAGAAAAAAGTTGATTTGCATGGCATTATCTTTTAAATCTTAAAATATTTCAAAAATTATATATATATATCGATTAGTTAAATATATATTTTCTTAAAAACATATAATTTTTTTAAGAAGAGAAAATTTGTTCTTTTTCAATTATCAAATTTACTATGTCTTATAAGGAAACGCTCGATTACAATAATTTTATGCGCACGTTTCTATTAATTAATGCAGTGACGAATTATTCTTACGTTGATGAGATACCTATATAAATCCAGTCTCGGGACCGTTTCGTCGGGAGATTTACAATTCATCGAGGTAAGAAGGGCACGGGGGTAGATCGATCGCGTACGCGTCGAAGAAACGCACGGCGAGAGGCCGGTCAGACGTAAATTTATCACGACGTTATCTCGTCCGTTGTGGATCCACGTTCGTTAATTTTATCTCGGCCTTTCTTGGATCCATGCCTTCTCTCCTCTATTCGTTCCTTCGCCATCCCTTGGTATTTCTTTGTCTCCACCCTCTTTTCTCCCAACCCTCTCGTCGTTGGGACGAAGATCAGGTAAATCAAGTCACGAAAATCCAGAATCGATGGAAACGCAGCCAATTCGTTTTCGCCGAATTTTATTTCGGACAGATTTAGAACTCGCCCGGTATATACACATCGCGTGACTCTCACGAAACCACGGTTTAATCTTTCTTGAAGAGGCGAGAGGCAAAGCGCGAATTAACTCTGGAGGAAAGAAGACTTTTTTGCGAAAAAGAGTCGCTTTGCAATCTGGACTAATACTAGTCCCCGGTAAAAATGGAATCAATTCGTCTTACAGTAGAAGGAAAACGAAGATGAAAAGGATGCTGTTACAAAGCCGAATAGTATAAGAAACGGCCGAGTAAATTCCGCGTTTTCAGCCTCCGTGTTAAACTGAGGACAAACCGCGGTCTCTCGGAAGGAATTCCTCGAGCGACGATATAAGGCCGGGCGTCGTCAAGCGTAATGAATATAAATTTAATTAAGATTAGGATTTCGGAGAAGAGCAGGGTCCGGGCCGAAGCAGGTTCTGTGGGCTCAGACCTTCATCGTTCAGTCCTCGTCTCTTCGCCTTTCGGTTCCCTGGTACCTGGTCACCAATTAAAACGTCTCGTGCCACCTTTTTCGGAATTTTAATTGTCACGCGGTATTATTATTCTACACCATAATAGATAATAATTACACGTGCTATTATTTTTGCCGATCAAAATTATTATTATTGACGGGCGTATAATTTCTTCTCGTAGCAAGTTTACTGTCCTACGCATTTTTCGAAGGGTACTCGCGACATGGCCATCATCTGGACGAAGATGGCTTCATTGGACGTCATGACACCGCGTTAATTAACGTTTCTCATTAATACGATCGGTTGCGTGAGCAGGCTTCGAAAGCGATTTCGTTCGAGTGTAGAGATGCGGCTCAGGCCTAGTCGTGATACTCCTTTTGTTGTTTCTCCCTCTTCTATCGAAGCCTCGCGCAGATCCTTCAAGCTCGACCTCCCCTTTCTGCTCCGACCGCCTTCTTAATCTTCCTTTAATTCCCCGGCTTTCTCGTTTCTTTAGCTCCTTTTTCCATCCTTTCGTTTTCTTCGTTTCGCCTCTTCGTTGTGTGCTTTTTCTATTCTTCCTCTTCTTCTTCCTCCTCTCCATCTCGTTCTCCTCTCTTTGTTGTCGCCCCCTTTTTGTATACCTATCTTCCTGCTTCGCGGCCTTTCACCGGCTCTCTTCGCCGGAGAGAGATATGCGCCGACAGGTTTCGAACTGTCTCGTATCTCATGGGGAGCTGCTTCGGCGCGAAATCAAGCCGAGGAGTTTGTTTCTTCGTCCACACTTTTTCCGCTCGAACATTTCCGATATTGACGTATTGTCGTCAAGAGCAATCAAGATTATGTGTGGTAATTTCGTTCTCCAATATTTGATTAAAAATATTACAAGTTCTGTTTTATATATGTTTCAAGAAAATCGCAGTTTTATTATATTCTAAATTAAAAAGATTTTATTTCAATTAATTACGTCAAAATTGTGTTCGATTACTTTATAGACTTTGAAAAATTTCCTTGGAACAATTTCAAATTTTATCCTTCTTTTTCTCTCTCGTTTAAATTATATTTTATAATAATTCTGGCACAGAGTTGTACTTTGATTTAATCATTGAAGTGACTCACGGAGAGAACTGATCGCGAAAGAAAAGCGTAGAGAGACCATGTTGAGTCCGTTCGATTGCATATGTTACACAATCGATAGGCGACGATAAGAAAACGAGTTCTTCCCACGCGATTAAACGACGAGACGGCGATCCATTAGTCCATCTAGTTAGACTGCGATCGCTTTATTAATCCTTGTTCGCATTCTCATACCTACACAAATTGCTTTTTGCACGACGACTGCGTTAATTTCACATCGCAATCGTGTGAAAATAATTTGCCGCGTGTAAAACATTAATAATCGCGGAAAGAAAAATTGTTTTACAAAAATCTTTATATATTAATTTAGTTTTGAATTAATTTTTTATTAAAACAACTATTCTTTTAGGAAATTAATTACTTAAAAAAACTGTTTTAGAAAAATAAATAATGTAATTAATAATGTAAAAATAAATAATAAATAATGTATTTTTGAATATATAGTGTGTTAAAATTGGAAATTTTGCTCTCCTTCTATTTCTGTATTTCGTTAATTATATATGTAGTATTACTATAAACTATGTATAAAAAGTCATAGCAAGAACACGATAATATAGACATATGAATCTATTTGGCCAGTAGATCAAAGTTATGCAGCTTCGATACCTTTTTGAACGACGAGGATCGTCCCATCTTTTCAGATATTGAGATTTATCGATTGTCCGGTCGCCTTCCTATCAATCAACGACTATCGTGAAATCGGAATAAAGTCTGGTAGAAGATCGACTCACCAGTAGATTGACAACACCAGTGTGATCGTCCACCCAAGCGAGTAAGATATCGGCGCCCATCATGTGGCTCTTCTCGTTGAAGCCGATGCCGACATAGCCCAGGATCTTGGCGGTGACCCTGAATGTCACTTCCTCGTCGTCCGAAGGATCCCACTCGAGGATTACGTCACCGTCCTCGTCGAGCTTCTCGTACCTGGTGAACTTTGGCACCCTGACATTAAATATTCCTCGGTTAACTCCACCTTTCTTCGCGCTTCTTCTGGACCTCGTCTTCATCCACGTTCTCGTCTTGTTCTTGAGATCCATTTTTACGGGAGGGACATATCTCTTCGGTACTTTTCCCCATACTTTCGGCATCCTTCTCTTCCTTGGTATCCTTGGCTTCGGATTGATTCGCTCGTTCTCGCTGATGATTTCGAACTGCGAATTCTCCTCGTCCTCCATCTCTTCGGAATCCTTCCATTCTTCCACTGGAATCTCTTCTACTGATTCTAGATATTTGAGAATGACGAATTCTTCGACATTGGTCTGATTCTCCAGAACGATCGGAAACTCGTCCTTCAACGCTTCTTTTTGTCCTTCGATCGTCACATAATGCGAGGCATTCGATTCTGTTTCGTCTTTAACGATACTAGATGTCGATTTCGCAGTCTCGATCAGCGCTTGCGAATTTTCGGCTTCGGAAATCATCGTCGTTTCATCAGGATGTTTCGAATCCTGCGTCGTATTCGAGAGCATTTCGTGTTGATCAGGATCAGAATTTTCCTCTCGTTTATTCGGGTAGTCTAAAGCATCGTTTTGATAAGAGACGATCTTCTTCTTGGCTTTCCATTGCTTCAACCACTTCTCATTGATGTCCAATTGTAATTGCTTCTGCAAAATATCGATCGACAGCGAGTCTTCGTGTTCGAGGCTCCTCCTTATCCTTCTGGAAACGGGATATATGGGATGCCGTTTGTTATTGTATAACTTTGTCCTCATGGTTTCGTCCATGTGCTGGACGTAGAGATCCAGTAGATCGCACTTAACGATCCAGCACGCGATCAACGTCACGATCACCCTGAGTAGCAACATCTTCCGCTTCCTTTTTCGCTTCTTGATTCTTCATACGATCATTTAAACAAATCCTGCCGTTTGTTTCACTGTCAATATTAGGGCCATCAATTTATCAATTTCCCTTTCTCTCTCTTTCTGTTTCTAATTAAATATATTTATATATACAACACTGAAATTCAATTTATCACTAACATTTTTCAGCTGTTATACTCAAATTCAACTTTAATTTCCGTGAAAAACTCTTAATTATTTATCACGAGCATCGTGCGCTCGCAGGTTTCAGAAGAAAAGATGATTCTTTTCATAGGAAAAAATTTCTTCGATCTTGTTTTATCGCAGAGTTAATTTTGATACTAAATATCTCGAATTTATACCGATCTATCACGTATCTACCTGCGCAAAAAAAATTAAGGTAATTCGAAATGCTTTAAGCGCTAGCTTCTTTCACAATTTTTCGTTAATTCGATTTTCAACACACTGGACTCGAGAACGATCTTCCATACATGTTGCGCGCACGACAGTTGTGCCGGGACTAATTTAAACATGCGGCTGCCCCTGCAGATGCTCGCAGCTGCTTACCTGGCTCCGGTCCCCTTCCTTCAGGGCCCTCCGATACAGGGACGTATTGCCGGCTGTGTGTTCGTTTCGTAGCCAGAAGCCGCATTAAATCGCACAAATACAATTCTTCACATATTTTTCTATTTTTCGACGTAGAAAATGAAAAAAAGTGGAATCTATAACAAAATAAAATTTTCCTTTTTAAAAGCGATACGAACAATTTTTTTAGAGCAATTTCTAATTTAATATAAGCTCTTGATTTTTTTTTCATAACAACGAAGCCAAACAGGGGAAATTGTAATTTTGCTTTGTTGAACGAGTTATTTACTTAAATACACTCATACTACTTTCAACTGATCTTATTTACTATTTATTCAGTTTTTGCATGCTTGCCATGGATCAATTTGCGTTTTTTTGCGCTCGGCTTGTTACGTGCGGCCTCCGTTACGTTCAGTCGCACGTAACGAGCCGAATTGTAATACTCTGCGACATGCGAGAGAGTTAAACCTCTTGCAATATAATGCGGAATCACAGCAATCGCAGTATGTAAAATCTTCCTCTTTTTACGATTTCGCGAGCGAGTTTGCACGGATCGCTGGAGCGTGATAATCTCGCATACGATTATTGCACATACGATTATTCCACCATCGAATACGGTTGGTTCGCGCGTTTACGAGAAGGTTCGATGAGGGACGAAAGAAGAGGGATCTCGTCGGTGCTTCCTGCGGAAGCGTCCCTCCCTTTTTCTCCCTTTTTTTTTTTTTTGTAACCGGAGACTTATGCATACGTCGATGGCAATGTACGGCGGTGTTGGTGGCGATGGCCTTCTCTCTTTCTAGAAAAGAACCAGGGGCTGTAAAAGAGATTGTCTGTGTGTGTGTGTGTGTGTGTGTATGCAGCAGATGCGAACCCTTGGCACGCGCCCTTCTGTTCCCCAACGATTCTCGCGTCGACCCTCGCCCTTCTTCGATGAAGCAACGCTTCGCGAAATTTCGCTTGTTTCAAAGTCGATATCGTATAAATGAATTTATTTTACTTTCTATTTAATTAATAAATTATTTAATATCTTTTTAAATTGATAGATTATTGTTGTATGAAGTGTTTGCGTGTGTATGCGTGAAATAAGTTTCCGATTGGAAATGTATTGTACATTTATTTACTAATGCACGATTTATGCGAATCAATATATAGTTGATTCATATCGATATCATTAAAGGTGCTGTCGATTCAGTGTTTAATCGTGCGAATCCCATCCGCTCGGAGGCGATATATTATTCCGCTTAAGCGTCCGCACGTGTTCAGAAGCCAACTGTATCGAGTTACTTCCTGTAACTGACATTGAAACACTATACTTCACGTGTGAGACGGGTTGCTGATCCTTATTCTTTACAAACGAAGATATCGATCGATACGCGATGGGAATGACACGCGAAATATCTCGTGAAATGATAAAATCGTATATTTATTTTTAAAATAAAATTTAATAAAGAATTTTCGAAAACTTAATTGTATGCGCGGTTATCCCCTCCAGAACTAAATCATCTAAAGGTTTACGACAATTATAAAGCCTTTTGAAGATGCCTCTCGTTGTCAATAAGACTTAATTAAGGAGAAAGATTACGTTACGATAATTTTGCCAAAATTTAAAAAACTATTTTATAATCCAATGTTTAAGAAAATAATGATAAAATGGTGGATTTATATAACGTTCATTTCTTATCTTGACGCAAAATTTTGTCGAAATGCAATTTAATTTCATTTTACGATACATCATCGATGCGTCCATCGTCATTCGCGTCAATTTCCGCCAATGGAGTTAATTGACTTCTCCAAAATTAATATAGTTTGATCGGGAGATTCATCGACTGTGAAAGACCACAGAATTCTTTTACGGCTTGCCCGATAACTTTACGTAGATATAGCGATTCAGAGTTTATAGCCTCATCGACATAAAATAGCGTTGTCTCTTGGAACAGACTGGACAAATCGTTCGACAAATTGACTTTTCCACGCATGTCGAGAAAATCATGATTCCGAATCCCTTCGTATCAGTCTTCGTAGCCGCTCGCAAGCGGTATTCTTATCATGAAGAAATGCTGCGGGAAGATGCACGACGACGCGCCGATCGTAGAAATCGTACGTTTGTATTCATCCGGCGAAATTATTCATCCCTCCTTCTCGTGACAACTTCTTCGTATCAACGAGAAAGAAGAGTCACACGGGGTACATCGGCTTCACGCCACGAAGCAAATCGCGTCGTCCTGAGAAAAACCGATGAAGCGCCGCGAAGAGCATAAGAAGCGGATTCATTCCCATCGACTGCACGTGCACGCGAGCGAATCATCGATACCGGGACACGCACGATTTCGATCGCGTATTCCACGCGCGTATCTACACGCATATTGGTGCCCGAAATAAATCAACAATGTCCCGAAATAAATAGACGATGTCCCGCATATCAAAATGAAGTCCCGGCTGTTTTCTCGCACGAACGTCGAGAGATCGATATTAATCGTCGCATCAAATTTTTTTCGACGATAGCACGGTATAATTTCAATGAGATCAGATTCCAATTAGCTGTTTACTTGCAGCAATGAAATTGCGATAATTGATGCATAAGATTGTTTGAGCAATTGAGTTTCAAATCAAACAATCTTATGCACCGATAAATTATATTATTATATTATTATACTCCCCCCCCCCCCCTCGCTCTCTTTATAAGCAATAATTATTTCTTTCAAAATACTTAAAGTAAAATATATTTTGTCCGATGCTTTATCGTTCATCTTTTTGACAATCTAAATATGATTCGAATGGAGAACGCACAATTAAATAATCGAATCGCAGAATCGAGTAATTAACTTAACGAAAGGCTTCGTGATACATCTATCGATTAATAAATAATTAATCTATAATTTAAAATACTTATATAATTTAATATTCCGTGTATATATATATGTCATAATACGTGAATATTTCGGCGTTTTATCAATAACAAAGTATTCTGTCTTGGCGATGTAAACATTAGCGCTCTGTTGTTTATGTTTTATAGCCTTGTTATCATTTTATATTATTTAAATAATACATTGAAATTATACTAGATTTAATTTCCGCGATATCCGGCTATAAATAATTTGTTATTTCATTTAGGTTTTGAGCTAAGACTTTCCGAACATTCGGTGGCAATTTGAGGCGGGAATTAAAACCGTCTCCCCAGTTCACCTGTCACGCGCGCACTGTCTATACACCTGCTACATAATCATGCTTCGCCCCGGCATCTGCCTCTCAAGGTTTTATGTATCCGATCGGCAGACCCCTATCCAAGTAGCCCCTCCCACACACATATATATATATTGCCATATACATATGGCAATTTTTCCACGTTTCTTAAAATTTCACTTCTTCTAAAAAAACAATGCAGAAATTATTTTTCTAATTATTTTACAATTATTATTCTCTTATTATTTTTCCTATATATAGAGAGAGATTATATAAGAGAAAAAAATATGTATGTATGCATATATTTTATATATAATTATATATAATTTTATATATAATTAATATATTTATATTTGTGTGATTATCCATTTCGCGGATATGCAATGTACAATCTTTTTATCGACATACATGTATAACTATTATGGTGTAATAACCAGTCGTTGGTAATTGTTTTATTGATGGTATTATTTCAAGAATTTGCAAAATCTGCCACAGAAAGGCGAACAGAGGGAAGCCTGAGAGAGGTCACGGCCGCCGTTTTTCGTAAGACGCCTTTTCTAGCTGGTACAGTAGCATCAACTAGATCCATTTTAGAGCCTGCAGAACTACATGGCCAGATTCACTTTTGGTGCCACGGTAAAACGGCTGGGGTTGATGCATGTCCGTGCTAAATACATAATTATGGATTAAAATTGTGGAGAAATATTATGGATTTATTAATGTTTTATTATATATATAACTGCGCGTGATATTTTGCCATTCTAGTATATTCTATAATGGCTAAAAAATTACCTTTTTTTAAAAAAAGTGAAAAAAAGGCGCCAAGTGCACGCGAACAAGCGCCTTTCGCTATAAAAATACTCTTATACAAAATAGTGTTATTTCAATTTGTTGTGAAAAATTCTTATACAAAACAGTGTTATTTTAATACAAAAACACTGTCATATTTAAAGTAAAAAACTGTTTTACAAAATAGTTGTTTTAATATTCTACAAAAATAGTGATATAAAAATATTGCGCCAATTAATAAAAATTTATTTTACAAAATTCATTTATTATTATTTCTAATATTAAAAATTGCAATGTGATCAAAATAGTGGAATATATTCAAGTGAAAAAAATTTTTAGTTTGAAAGACAAATTTAAGTATAAAATAACTTTTCAATTAGAGAAAAACTTGACGCTGCTAAATTGAATATATGCTAATCTAATTATCGTGTTATTTATATTTTGACAACATTTTGGCAACAATTATTTCTTTAAAAATATTTAAAATTATATATATTTTGTCCGATGCTTTATCGTTCGACTTTTCGACAATCTAAATATGATTCGGATTGAGAACGCGCAATAAAATAGTCGAATCGCAGATCCGAGTAATTAACGATAAACTCCGTGATATTAATCGTCTATTAAATCGATTTATAATTTAAAATATTTGTATATAATTTAATATTTCGCTTGTATATACGTCATAGTACGGAAAATATTTCGGCAGCAAATTATCAATAACATAGTATTCGGCCTTGATGACGTAAACATTAGCGCGCTATTGTTAACGTGTTACGATTTACGATCTTATCATTCACACGGCGACACTCGAACAGTAAGATAGTAGAGCGCGAGACATTCCGTCAAACTTCTTTTCGAAACGCAATCATAAGTATCGGGAAATAATTTGATATGATAAATTATTTATCTTTTATATAGCTTAAATAATACGTAAATATATCGCAATGATAAATTTCGAA